GGGGGGGGGGGGGGCGGCAGGGGAGGTTGCAAGTGGTGATCGTGTAATTGTGGGGTGCTGCAACTGGTCATAAGCACGAGCTGGTTGTCAAGCACCCAGATCACGATCACATGACTGCAAGGGTGCTGGGACAGCCGGAATTTTGAGGACTGGTTGTAACCATTTGTTCAATGCCATCATAACTTCGAACAGTTGCTGAATGAATGGTCAGAAGTCGAGAACTCTCTCTCCCCTTCCTATACCTGTGCATTTGATTTTTGCTCTTAAATGCATGATTTTGCTATTGTCTGCTAAATTTAATTGTTATTCTCAGCCCACCTTTGTACCATATCACACCATCATCTAAACTGTTAATAAAAATAATGGAAAGTGGCAGACCCAAGACTAATCCTTGTGGAACCCCAATTAATACAATTTTATGAAGAATTTACACTCTTTGAGCATGATTTTCAAGTCAGCTAGGTATTGTGGTGGTAAACAGTACCCCCCCATATGCTTGTAAGCTACATTCACTGCCAAACTTATGAGATGTCCCCCATACATGTGAACTGCTTAAAGTGTCCTTGTAAGAAAACATTTACAGCAAGCTGAAGTGACCCTGAGTGGTGACAGGGGAAGAATCAGTCAGGAACCTATGGCTCAGTAAACCAAATTGTTTATGTTCACTGACCATATCTTAGAGATAGTATAGCTCACATGCCAATCTAGTAGGAAGGGATAAATAATGTCACCCAGATGGGTTTATCAAAAACATTCCAACATCATGCTGTAATTTACATTACTGTATATCTGTCTTTGCAATATAGTAGGCCAAGGGTATATAAGCTATGGTTCTGCCTTTGCTAAGGGCTGCCCAACAAGCTGCCAATGCTTTGCTGGGAGCCCAGCATATTCTGTTTTATCACTTGCGTGCTAATAAAATTATGTTGTATCTTCAAAGTGATTTGGTTGCTTTAGGTGAACCAGGTTTTGGCCTCAAAGGTATCCACTTAATTATCATGGTATTTTGCCATACTTGACTAGCTTCCTAATAAGCAGATACTTCTGTCAAGCTTAATTAGGGTTAATGTTGGCCAAGCTTTTTGTGACTCCACCCATTACATTAATATTATGGTAACCCAGAAAACTAGTTTACTGGGTATCCAGACTGATCATTGGGTAAAAGCAACTAGAGTGCTACACTTACCCTTCCTGCATCAGCCTGTTATTACAACTAGAGTATTTGGCAGCACCACTTCTGTGAATATGCAAAAGGGCGTAACTGCTAATGCTGGAGAGCTGCAGAGATATATGGATAAGAGGAGGCAAGGAGTAATACTTAGCATACAGGGGTTCTGTTGCCAATCCAAGAATGTCTCCCGATCAATTTAATGAGAAACCATTCATGCCCACGACGACACACCCCACTGTACTGAATTAGCTCCACAGTCTTAGATGACAGCAGTCTAGCTGTGCAGAGCATCTTTCTCAACATTTGTATTTATATTTATATTTTGAATTTAGACATTGCCCATCTCACAAGGAAGTACAAAGAGTACATACCAAACACCTTTTCCAATCATTAAAGCAGCCATGTCTTTTGCAAAGCAGAGATGGCCGGGAGCACCTTTTAAATAAGTGCAAGCCTTGCAAAACATGCAGCTGCTTTAGCGCTTCAAAACCAAGTGCTATGGACATGCTCCGTAAATTAGAAAGCATATTGTTCAAATGTTTTACATAGCTCTACTCAAATAAGCAGACAGGTTCATAATCTTGGAAACAAGAACTAGGTAACAAGAATGCCTTTAACATCTTGCAGAAACTTAAAATTCCTGAATGCCGTACTAATATTTTTCTGCAAGTGCCCTGGCGACCCACCTTGTCATGCAGAGTCCAGCCAATGTACTTGAGATAACCATCAGTTAGGAAGGAGATGGTGTAATGTTGTATCCACTGGCCCATCTCTTCAATGCAAATAGCACGGATTTCAGGTATGAGGTCCCTTAGCAAATAAACAACAGGGTCAGCAATCAGACTCCAGATTCTGAACCTACTCCATTCACACATGTCCTAATATCACTCACCTATAGCGATGAACAAAGACTCCCTTGAAAAGAGCATTCATCAAGGTCTCTAGCTCTTCTTGCTTCTCCTGGAACTAAAAACACATAAACTGGTAGCAGAGGGATATGGCACTCTTATTTTCAATTATTAGAAAGACTTAAAATAGACAAAAGAATTTATGGTTTTGAACACTGTAAGACTGAGTTTGAAATAGAATTCTATACAAATGAGGAACATATAATTGCTAAAATGTATACACTTTTATTGAAGTTTGAAACAGAAAAGGAACAAGTGAAAGAATATATGATAAAGTGGGCTAAAAATTTTGGTTATAATATACAGATGGAACAATGGGAAAATATGTGGCTGAAAGGATTGAAATTTACAGTATGTTATAATTTTAAAGAAAATTTCTATAAAATGATATACCATTGGGTATGTCACCAGAAAAACTGTCTAGAACGTATAAAGGCACTTCAAATTAATGTTGGAAATGTGAACAAGAAGAAAGGACATTTTATGTTTGGTGGATGTGTAAAAAAGCTAGAAAACTCTGGATTCAAATACATCTACTGATTTAGAGGATTTTAAAGATTAATATACAATTAGACCAGAGGTTTTTATTTTGGGATTGATGGACAAACAGTTGGAAAAATGTCATGGAACTTTGTACATGATAACTGCAGCAAGATTGTACACACAAAGATAGAAAGATTCGGAACTACCCACCAATGGAGGTTAGTGAAGATGATGGAACTTGCCAAGATGGCTAAATTGACTTCTTTGATCAGAAAAAAGACATAAATTAAGTTTATTGCTGATTAGAAACCCCTTATGGACTTCTTGCATAAAACAAAAAAAAATGAACTTATGATTTATGGTTTTGATAATTAGATTACAGAAAGAGAAGAGTTATGTTGTAACCACAGAGTAAGAGGTAAATTATTAATTGTACTTATAACTGCTGTAAAGATCAGAAGCTACTTCTTTGTATCTTTTTTCTTTTCTATTTTCTTTTACTTTCTTCCCTTTCTTGCACTTTCAGCTTTCTCTTTTCTTTTCTTATTTTATATTAGTTTGTATTAGTTTTTATCTTCATTTTTTAAAAATCTTTAATAGACATATTAAAAAAAGAACTAAAAACACATAAGGCAGGCTTATGCCCCCAGTCACATCTCTAAAGAGTTTTAAACTTTCACAAGCTCAACCCAAAGCTAAACAAGAAGTAGCTCCGTGTATTTCATATTTTTATCACAGCACTATGATTCAAAAAGGCTTAGATTGTCAAGATCCTCCTGCATTTGACTGTTTTCTAACATGTTTGCTATCCTCCCTATTTTTGCAACATCTGCCAGTCTAATAACCATGTTTTCTAACCCCAATCCAAATCATTCATAAACATGTTGAAGAGTATAGGGCCTAGAACAAAGCTCCACAATATATTACTCAACATTTCCCTTCAGCTTGAAATCAATCCGCTGAAATACACTTGCTAGGTAGGCTGTTCCACCAGCAATGTATCCATTTAATGATAGCACAATCCAGACCACATTTTGACATCATCTTTGCTTGGATCTCAGGGAAACCTTTATCAAATGCTTTGCTAAATTCTTGATACAGTGTTGAATGCATTCACTTGGTCAATTAAAATGGTCATTCTATCAAAAAAAAGGAAATCAGATTAATTTTGCATTCGTTCTTGATGAAGTTATGCAGGTTCCTGCCAAGTAATATATTCTTTTCTACATGCTTGCAAACCTACTGCTAAATAATCTGTCCCAGCACCCCAGAGTGGTCTTTGGTTACCCAAATATTCCAGCTGGAATCACATCATTTATGTGCGTGTGTGTGTGTGTACAGTATATATATATTTTTACAGTATTTCTCTATCACCACAATTACACATCTCAAATCATAAAATCTTCTGAGCAACTGACCTCATCCCAAGGGCACAGAGAATGAAATCCCCCAGCACTAATTCCCCAGAGGACTCCAACACCAACTGTAACAGAGGATGGTGCTGGGCAGCTAGATGGGTGCTACAACAGCAGAATCCCTAATCTGAAGTACAGGTAGTCCTCACTTAACGACCATTTGTTTAGCGACTGTTCAAAGCTATGACGGCACTAAAAAGTGACTTATGACCGGTGCCTGAAGTGACAACCATCGCAGCGCCCCCAGTCATGTGATTGCGATCCAGGCACTTGGCAACCAGCTTGCATTTACAACAGTTGAGTGTCCCAGGGTCACGTGATCACCATTTGTGACTTTAACAGCTGGCTTCCAGCAATCAAAATCAATGGGGAACTGCATGATTTACTTAACAACCATGTGATTCGCTTAACAGCCACAGCGATTTGCTTAACAACTGCTGCAAAAAAGGTTGTAAAATTGGGTCGTCACATGATTCACTTAATGACCACACTGCTTAACAACCTAAATTCCAGTACCAATTGTGGTCATTAAGCGAGGACTACCTGCAAAGCTAAAAAAACGTACATCCAGACACCTCTACAGCACAGCCTCTGGAAGCAACCAAGCTGTCCTGGAAGATCACTACCCTTGACATCATGGCCCTAGACCATCTGTAAATCTTTAGGGTAGATCACTGAGAGGAAACACCATCCTCTTCACCCAGGCCAGTTTTGGTAATAGACACCAGGGCATCTTGCACCTCTTTCCCCGACAACTTCATTTCCAGGATATATTCCTAGAGGGAGCCAAGGGGTTGCCAACAGTGAATTCTGACCCTGAGCAGCCACTGTATAGCAGTAGCTACAAGTGGTGGCAGCAGCTGCTCCCAGTCAGTCTCACTAATGAATCTAAACTACTTCTCCACCGATGGCAACAACATCCTCCTCCTCCAAAACCCCTCTCTTTCCCAACAATCATAATATACAGGTGGTCACCACTTTTCAATTCCCTCATCCCACTTGCGCAGTTTATGCTCTCCACTACCTCCATCCACCATCTCCTCCAATTGCATACAAAAGTCATTCATTCAAATCTTCATATGCAGAACTTTCTCCCCACTCTTACAATCTTCCCGACCATACTACACCCCACCATTCTACCCTTTCTCCCTTGCCAACATTCTTCTTCGTTTATTTCCCTTCCTTAGTTTTCCTTCCTTCTTCATATTCTCCTTTCACACTCTACTCCTTTCCACCTGGGCTCTTTTTCCCTTCTTCACTGTCTCTACCTTCTCCACATTTAAAACTGTCCACCTGACTTCCTTCCAGAAAGGTCTCCTGACCATCACTGACACCGTGGGGAAAACAAGCTAATCTTCAAAGCAAAGCCTTATCCCCATCCCTACCTTTAAGACTATGCTGCCCAGAATTACTGTCAGAGGGTTATCTTCTTGAAAAAAACTCCAGAAATTCTTAGCTTTTTTAATGCAGTGATACAACTTTTTCCTGTAATGTAAGATAAAATTTTTTTTGCTATAAAACATTCCCTATTTCAAGAATAGCATGTTCTTTGTACTCTAAGGATTTTATAAAGACATTTCAGAGAATTGCCCCAACTGGAAGGAAATGTGTAAACCAGGAACTGGCAATAATTTCAGGAGCTAGACACCAAGGTATAATAGCCAACGCACGCACACACAAAAATTAAACTTTCCTAAATCTTATCTCTCAAATCTCACATGAGATTTTCAAGAGCCAGTTTGGTCTAGTGGTTAAGGCACCAAGCTAGAAACTAGGAGATTGTGAGTTCCAGTCCCGCCTTAGGCATGAAAGCTGGCTGGGTGACTTTGGGCCAGTCACTCTCTCTCAGCCTAACTCACCTCACAGGGTTGTTGTGGGGAAAATAGGAGGAGGGAGCAATCGCCGCCTTATTTATAAAAAATAATAAAGGCAGGATAAAAAATCTAAAAAAAAAAAGCAGACAGGAGCAGAACTGAGTTTAGCTACTTCCTACAGAAATCAGGAAACTGCAATAATTCCTACAACTGTTAACTGCAACTGCAAGTTTCCTAAGCAATTGTCCAGGCCATCAGATCAGAGCACTGCTTTTGCTGGCCTAGTTGAGGCAGTTCAACCTTGGGTTACAACCACTTGTTCAGCAACCATTCAAATTTGCAACAGTGCAGAACAAGAGGGATTTACAATGGGTCCTCAGAGTTCTGGCTGTCATGGCATCCCCGCAGTCATGTAATTGCAATCCAGATGCTGTGTGTCCGGCTTGCGATTACAAAGTTGCAGCGAGCCACAGTCACACGATCATGATTTCCGACATTCCCTGCCAGCTTCCCACAAACAAAGTCAATGAGAAAACTGGCAAGTCAGAATTCACAGTCATATGAGGTTCTCACTTGAAGGAACTAGCAGAAGCGATCACAAAACTATTCTTGGTAATCACTGAGAACTCTTGGAGGACTGATGAGGTCCCAAATTGGAGCAGAGCAAATCCCATCCCCTTAAGAATAAAAACAGTGCCCAACAGGATTGGACCCCTGGTTGGTCCAGCACTCTGTTCTCACAGTGGCCAATCAACTGCAAAAGAAAGTCCACTAATCTCCCAGCAGATGGCCTTCAAAGGCAGTCACATTGCCGTCTCATGACATGAACTGGTCCAAGCCTTTTACAAAACAGGGAAGAGAACCCAGGAAGCTAGACCTGTCAACATGTTTGGCAAAGCCCTCAAAACAGGTGATGAAATCCTTGGATGGCCATGCTACAATTAACAGGAGTCAGCATGGGTTCTCACAAACAAATTGTGCCAGATGAACTCTTGTCTCTTGATTCAAGACAGCCACTAGCTTAGCAGATTAGGAGTATAATGGAGATGCAGTATACCTGAACCTCAGCAAAGCCCTCAAAAGAGCACCTCACAATATTCTCCTTGATAAAATGGTAAAATAGGGATAGATGATATTAGCGTTAGATGGACACACCATTGGTGCTCCTTAACAGCCCCCCTTCAGTTTGGTGGGAGCATCTGTTGGAATACCACAGAACTCTGTCCTTGGCTCTGTGATGTTCAATATTTTTATTAATAACTTGATGGAGGGACCTGAGGAGATGCTTATGGAGTCTGCAGCCAACACAAAGCTGGGAAGTATGGCTAATAATGTAGATGAAAGATTTTTTTAAAAAAACTCCAGACTTGAGCAGTGGAGTAAAACAAACAGGATAGAACTGTTTCCCGAGAGGGTATGACTAAAGCCAGTGGGTTAAAATTTCAAAAAGCTTCAAATTGGACACCAGGAAGAACTTTCTGACTATACAAACTGTCAGCCAGTGGAACAGACTGCCATATGATTTGGTGACTTCTCCTTTGCTACAGATCTTCAAACATAGGTATTGCTATATGATTATCTGTTAGAAACACTCTCGTGGATGCTGCACTGAGAAATGGGTTAGACTACATGGTCTTTGAGGTCCCTTTTAACATTGCGATTCTGTGACTGAACAAGATGCAGCCAAAAGTTGTCTTTATTGGTCTCCCTGCCAGATGCTCACCTCCTTATGTTGCTCCAACAGCCCTTCCAGCTTCCCTGGGGCCCAGGAGCCTAGTCCCTTAGCCCGCTCAGTCTCGTATTGTCGCTGAACCTTGTCTTTTTGCAAGCTTACGCTCAATGCCACATTCACCAAGGCTGTCATCAGCTTCATAGCTAGAATGAAAGAAAGGGCCACATAGCACAGGCATTCCCAATTGCCCAGGGAAGCCATAGCTGCCTCTCTTTGATACCAATTACTGTCCCACCTACCTGCCAGGGTACTGGTATGGCGGAAGGCACGCACTTGAGAATCAGACATGCCAGTCAGCAAGGCAATGAGGCTGTCCATCAAATATTCATCATAAACAACATTATGTTGGGCACGGCGCACGAGCACCGCTATTAACTCACAGAATCCTGCACGGAAACGTCGCCACGCGGGAGTGGTCAGTGACAAGGGGTACTCTGCTGAATCCTGGGGGAGGGATGGAGAGAAAGATCCATCAGAGCTAACCAGGCCGCC